TGTTTATTTTTTTTTATGTGGGACTATTTTTTTTTTTTATTGTTTACTTTGATTTGTTGGACTATGTTTAGATTATATATTTTTGTTATGTTGGACTGTATATGAATGTTGTGAACTCTCTGGTGCGGTTGGGCGGTGGAGTTAATTTTGAGAAGATGAGTGAAATTGAAGAAGATGAAGAACGAGTTGAACAAGAAATGGAGAAGTCAAACACTTCAGATAGGGTTTTGTCTGAAGAAGGTGGCACGGTCGAGATCATGCCACGTGGAACGCCCAAGACCGTCGATCAAGTGCCGTAAAGTGGAGGGAATGAGAGCACGTGGCAGCAACAACATCTTAAATATGCATTTTATGTTTTCTTTTATTTTTATATTATTAGGATATTGGTTAAATTGGGAATTATCCCAAGTTGTTATTTGTGGGTCCATTTGGGGAGCAACTCTCTCTACATCCTCCTCTTTTCTCTCATCTCTCTCTAAAACTCCATTTCTATTCCAATTTAAAGCTTAAATTATCATAAGAAAAACCACAAAAAATATAAAAAAGCCTATTTATTACATTTGGTATCCAGAGCCGATCACTCCTTGGACATGGCTGAAGGAACCAGAATTCGAGAGCTGCAAGATGCACAGAAAAAGATTGATCAAACTCTGCAGACCGAGCTATTGAAGAGAGAAGCTGCAGAAATTAAAATGCAAGAAAAAATGGAGCTCATCAGCTCACAAATGAAAGGAATAGTGGAGGCTTTTGACCTGGAAATCAAAGAGCAGCGATCTGAGGTCAACAGCAAGCTAGAACATCTCTCAAACACCTTGGCTTCTTCCAGTTGCAGCTGCTGAACACACACAAACAGGATTACAGTAAAGAGGGAGAATCTGTGCTGGGAAAACATCCTTTACATTCGAGCCATGTGCAATCAAGTAGCAAACAACAACAATTTATCAAAGAAGGACAGGAACATGAGAGCCATTCCACACAAGGTAACCACCAGTTTATGAGCCCTTTACCAAAAATTGACTTCCCCAGATTTGATGGATCAAATTCAAGAACCTGGATCTTAAGGCGTAATGCATACTTTAAATTGGTCCCTACAGTCTCTGAATCTCAGAAAGTTACCTGGGCTTCAATGCATTTAGAGGGAAAAGCTGCCCTCTGGTTTCAGAATCTCAATACCAGGCACCTTGACTTGAAATGGGCTCAGTTTGTGGAAATAGTCTCAGCTAGGTTTGAGGAACTCAGAGATGTCAAAATCATTGCTGAATTTAACAAGTTAAAACACACTGGTGCATATGCTGATTATGTGGAGAAATTTGAAGAGTTGAAAGCTTGCATGCAATTAATGAGTCAAGGGGATTTTTCTGAAGTGTATTATATTGCTACTTTCATAAGTGGGCTTAGTGAGGAATTGCAGGCATTCTTACACATGTTTAATCCCAAGACTCTTCAGCAAGCAATTGATTTGGGACAACAACAACTTCTTACATTGGAGGCCATCACCAAGAAGCTCAAAGGCTATCACAAACCTTATCCAAACCCACAGGGCAGTAATATACACAGAACATCAGCAAATCCTACTCCTATAAACAGGATACCTCAGGCTACCTACACTAAACCCAACACCAAGCTTCTTACTGCAGCAGAAATGGTTGCAAGAAGGGATAAGGGGTTGTGCTACAATTGTGATGAGAGGTTTGTTCCTGGCCACAGGTGCAAGCATAGAATCAACTACATGATCATAACAGAAGAAGAGAAATTGGCTTATTTGCAGGCAGAGGATATG